TGTAGCACTTTATTACGAAACCGTGGACTAATTAGACTTAAAAGATCCGTCTCGCAAATTAGTCGTAATCTATTCAATTAGTTATTTTTTAATCTATATTTAATACCTCATACATATGTCTAAATATTCGATGTGACATGATGTAAAGTTTCAAGGTGCGAACTAAACAAGGGCTTACTCAATGCAGCATGGCCAGAGCTTTAGTGAGCACGGTCACCAAAGTCCGTCAGCACTAGGTGGTTAGAGACTGAGAGTCAGAGGGCGCCATAATTTGCAAGAGGATTTGCTAGTTGTGCGACGGGAAGAGGGGAGCAAGGAAGGTGCTTCCTCTTTTTCTTTATTGGAGAGGAGTCGTCTAAGGATTGGTTGGATGGGTCTTGCAATCTGGGCCACCATGCTCGACGCGCCAGATTTGTACTGTAGCAAGGAGCCGGTGAAGCCCCAGAAACTAGCTCCGTCGGCTCCTCCATTCGGAAGTTCATTTTCTGGTTCATGCGACGGAGTGGCTCCTCCCTACAATGATGTACAATGTTAAATAGTGTCAAACAGTATGCATGCAGATGGAGTCGGAGCCTTTGAAGCCATGCCAAACCGGCCCTACAGCTGGACCGGTAAATGGAGGTTTGGCGGCAGCGGACAACTCCGGCAACAACACACAACACAAAAAGACAGTAGTTTACTAGAAGGCTTTAAGGTAGCGTTTGGTTGAGAGACAAGGTGGAGTGGGATGGTTCTGCCTCTATTCTGTGGGACGGGACGAGTCTATTTTTTGTTTGGTTGAGGGAGAATAGGACCGACCCATTTTTTGTTTGGTTGAGAGACAATAAAAGTGGGATGAGCTGCTGACATATGGGACCCACTTGTTAGTTTTTTTTTCTTTTTCTTTCTTCTCCCTTATCTCCATCGTCCCCAACCGCACAGAGACAGAGGTCCGCCCGCGTGCTCGGCCCAGCCGCCCGTGCGCAGCACTTCGCGCCGCCGCCGCCTAGCTCCTGCCTCCTAGCGCTCGGCCCGCCCACGCGCAGCACTTCGCGCCGCCGCCGCCGCCCTCGCCCGAGCCTCGCGTCGCCGCCTGCGCACGGAGCCTCGCGCAGCTGACGCCGCTCGCGCGAAACTCTCGCGCCGCCGCCCTCCGGCGACCGGATCCCTCGCCCGTGGCAGCGACTGGAGCCTCGCCGCCCTCTTCTTCAGCATCGGTGGCCGCTCCCATGGAAACCCTCGACCTCTTCTTGAAAGACCCGGTGGGGTGAACTTTCGCCCGTGCAGGCATGAGACCGAGCTCACCAGCAGTCCACGTGTGGCGGGGCGCTGAGGCTGGTCGTGGCCGGACCTTGCCCCTCCTCTACTCACCTCCTCCTCTCTTATTCCACGCCGGCCAGCAAGCGCCTCGTCCCACTTGGGATGGCCCCCGTCCGAGAAATTTGAGGGGACAGAGTGAACCTGAATCTCATACGAATATTCCCGAGTGGGACGTCCGTGCACCCGGAAGACTCCCAACCAAACATCAGTCGTCCCAGGACCGTCTCGTTCCATCCCACCTCATCCCTCCATCCACACACACGGTAATATTACGTAGTGGGACATAACGACCTTATGATTCTTTTAAACTACGCCCGTGTTTAGTTGGCCGAATTTTGGAATTTGGGCTACCGTAGCACTTTCGTTTTTATTTGACAATTAGTGTTCCATTATGGACCAATTAGCGGTCTGTTCGGCAGGACTGAAAAATAATGTTTCGCTGATTGTTGTGAGAGAAAAATATTGTTCTGGTAGGACGTGAACAGTGATGTCGTGAGCGACAGAGCCAGCCAGCCAGCCGGCAATCAGCCAGCCGAACGGCCTCTAGGCTCAAAACGTTCGTCTCGCGATTTTCAACTAAACTGTGCAATTAAATTTTTTTCGTCTACATTTAATGGCCCCATTCGCTTGTCTGAAAAAAAAGACAAACACTGTAGCGGCTGATTGTGTGAGAGAGAAATACTGTAGCGGCTGGAAGATGAACTGTAGCATGTGAGGAGAAGCAGCCGACTGGTCTGAAATTTTCAGATCAGCCGAACACGCCGAATGCTCCATACACGTATCACAAGATTCGATGTGATGACTACTATAACACTTTTTGGGAATTTGAGTTTAGAACTAAACGTGGCCTACCTCTCACCACTACTGGATTCAGGTTCTTTTCGAGAGTGCCGAGGCACTCTCAAGAAAGGCCAAATTGCACTCGGCAAAGGCTCCAGTAGAGTGCGGCACTCAACAAAGAACACACGGCAAAAAATTAATCGGCAAAAGCCCTCTTTACCGAAAGTGTCTTTTATAGCACTCGGCAGAAGACTTTGCCGAAAGTACCCGAGGACACTTTCGAAGAAAAAAGCCCGCTCGGTGCCGGTCCCGTTTGCGGGTTTTGCAGAGTGTGCAAACCTACGCAGCACTTTCGGCAAAGATTTTTATTTTAAAAAAATTTCTTGCTGAAAGTGCCAACACACGCAGGCACTCGGCAAAGATTTTTTTATTTTAAAAAAATTTCTGCCGAAAGTGCCAACCTCGCAGGCACTCGGCAAAGAGTTTTCTTTTTTTTACAAAATATCTTTGCCGAAAGTGTCAACCCTTCATGCACTCGGCAAAGATTTTTTAATTTTTAATTTTTTTTGCTCGAAAGTGCCAACCCCGCAGCACTTTCGAAAGAGTTTTAGATTCAATGCCGAAAGTGTCCTCTATTCGCCCTCGGCAAAGATGTTTTATTTTTTTTCTAAAAATTCTTTTGAAAAAGTGCCCCTATATTTTAGGCAAAGTTTGAATTTTTTTTTAAAAAAATTTTGCCGAAAGTGCCCTTTGGCCGGCACTCGGCAAAGTTTGAATTTTTTTAAAAAAATTATTTGCGATAATGCCGTGGTCATTACACTCGGCAAAAGCGGGAAAATGGTTTTCCGAGCTCCCATTTTTCCAGCTTTGCCGAGTGTCATGGCCATTGCACTCGACAAAGTGACTGAAAACAACCTTTTTTATTTGTTTTTTACATTCCATCCAAACAAACAGAAGATATATATAACAAACATCACAAATTGGTGTCACATTATCGTTGCATTAACATGCAGTACAACTAATAATACACCGTACCAATCATAGAAACATACATTGAGTTTCATTTATTAGCGAGTCCACTGCTGTCACATAGTTTGAGGACAATCAATTCACGATCAAGCTAACTAGTATGTATCAATTCACAATCAAGCTAACAAATATTTTGTCCTATATATCTTTTCTAAGGCAAATGGGTAGCACTTCCCCTATCTCGGAATCAACATCTCTTGTCTTTGGTCAGAATCTCTTCTAGAGAGATGATCTGCAAAAATGGTGAAACACGCTTGCAGATAACCGCTGGGCCTCTGCCTCCCACTACACCGCACTGCTGCCTCCTCAGGCCTTCTATAGCCAGATTGTTCACAAAATAAGACCACAAATCAGTAAGCATTTCAGTTAAATCAACCATAAGTTCATTCATAGTAAAGTGGAACCAAAGACAGATGCTGATTGTAAGACATCACCAAAACAACTTAATTATAGTTCATCATAATAGGCATGTACACTTTTCATAAGTCAAATGGGCAAATGACAAACATATTGAGAGCTCATGCCTTTTCATAAACTACAGTCCAATATCATGCATTAAAGATATTTTCTAGCATTATACTTTACACATGAATTTAAATCTATCATACACCAGTAAGTTGAAAGCAGCAGCAGGTATCATCAGACAATGTTATAAAAGATGTACATCTAGGAACTGATGCAATTTAGATGAAGAAATGCTGAAGACAGTTTCTGAAACTACTATACTCATATTTGTTGAAGCATGAGGATCGTTCGATGCCGCCGATTGATTCTGCACACTAATATTAGTTAGTAGTTACTAATAGCTCGTCCGGTTAAGCGAGAACTACGCACTGATTAAATGTAACTTTGAAAGTAGTTAAGACTAGCATGTCCACGCAGGTACTACGCACTGATATAGCATGTTAGAATGTAAAATAACAAAAGACAAGCATAACAATGGTTTGCTGCTTCACAAGATGTACAGTAATGATTAATGTAAATATAGAGCTTTACCATGCGGTGAAGCAAAAGCCAACGGAGAGTGAAATTGCATTCTCTAATGACAGAAAGAAGACTCTGAGAATTATTGAGCACATACTCCTTGTTTATGGCATGCATGTGAATATCCAAGTCAGCTAAAAATAAGGAACCTGGAGTTGAAAAAAACAGCATGCAGAAGTCAAAAAAAAGGAAAGTGAGAAAATTTCAGGAAAAGAATACAGATAGTCAATCCAAGAGGAGCATAGAAAATTTCAAGTTCAACTAATTTATGAATTAGAGAAAAAAGTAGGTATTGAGCTGCAATTCACAATCAACATCCAAAACAGGAAAATCTTTGATAATAATAGAATAAAATGTTTTGCTATACTCACCTTTGTATAATGGTGAAGACTGATATCACGAATGGAAGTGGGAGAAAGGCAGGAAACTAATGATGACTTTGCTTCTTTGTATGCATCCCAAGAGACAAGTAAATCAACTGAGAAATGCAAGAATATGGGAACCACCTGAGTAGGTCCTCAGACTTCTGAATAGAAATAATGTCCGAGCTAAATGGTGATGAACCAGGACTAGCAGAAGTACCGGGGTCGGCACATGCCGACGACAGAGCTCACATATCTGCTCCAGATTGGGATAGCTAAAACAGCGTTTGTACCGCAGGTGTGCCACAAGGAGCCTCTCGCGCAGCAACCCACCAATTTTGTGTTCCATTATAAGAATCATGCATCCGAACAGAGTCATTGACTCCACGAGTAACTGGCATGCGCAGTTATTCTCCAACACATGATCTAATGTGCAGTGGACATATAACCCTTCCTAAACATGAAAGAACACTCGTTTAGTGTCACTAAAATTGGGACTGGGGCATCATGTTTGACGCTCTAGTTCATCTAAAATATTTAGCAACAATGGCATCAATCTACAAGTTACAAAGACACTGCAACGGCGCAAAGCCTAACCTGCAGATCATTCAGGTAATTGCAGAGCTCTCCGTGGTAAGTGACGGCGCCATCAGAAAGGAGAAGAATATCTGCATGTAAGAGCCGCAGGAGTCACGGAGCTGATCTTCCAGTGCTTCCAGCTATTAAAACTTAAAGCTACGGTGGGTACTCGAGATGTGCAGATTTCTATCTACAAATAGGAGGAGAATTCACAAAGTTGCACTTTCGCATTGCGATGGTACGGATTTTATTATTTATGGCAGAGAACACAGCGAGAGATGTCACCGGAAGTCGAAGAGGACGGGGTCGAAGCGGCGGTCTGCGAACAGCGGAGGTGCGCAGTCGGAGAGCAGGAGCAGCTCAGCGATGAGGGCCTCGCGCGCGCGCAGAAACCTAGGAGCTCCGGGAAGTCGCCGGCGTCGGTGCCAGAGGCGGGCGGGCGGCTTGTGCCAGTCTCCGCCATGGCTCTTGTGCCAGTCTCCTCCATGGGTGGGCCTGTACCTGCAGCAAGAGAGCACTGCCGCGGACCTCCGTGGCCTATCCCTCGAGCGCGAGGACGGCGGGAGAGAGGGAGCGGAAGCGGAAATGCGGACCAGAGCGGCGGCGGCTGGGGTGAGACCGTGAAAAGTGAATGGGTTATGGTTACGGTGCGCTGGGCCGGCGGGGTGAATTCCTGCTTTGCCGAGTGCGCCTGATCCGGCACTCGGCAAATTTTTTTTATTTTTCTTAGTTCTGGGACGCCACCTCGGCAAAGAAGTTTTTTTTAAAAAAATCTTTTTGAGAGTGCCTCCGATCCAAAGACTCGGCAAAATATTTTTAATTTTTTAAATTCTTTCAGTGCCTTATTCTTGACACTCGGTAAAGACCCCTTCTCAAAGTTCCATGCCCACCTCATCGGCAAAGTTTTTTTTTTTTTTGTTTTTAGCTTCCAAATTAATTTTACGTGATATTTTTTAGAACACGAAACTTCAAGTTAGATTGATATATTTAGTTACTTTATTTAGTTTACTTGAATTTTTGAAAAATATAATTTTGAATAGCATGTAGATACGAATAATAGAATTTAATGATTCAGAAAAATGATAGTCATATTCTTATCATCACATGTAGTGTGAGCCCGTATGTAAGAATGGAACGAAATTCGGATATCTTTACGCGAAACATTTGAAATTTTTATCAGAAGTGTTCCAAATTCTATATCATGACATTTGACAAGTTTCATAATTTTGTTGAGATTTCGTGATTTTTTATAGAGAGCTATGATAAAACTCGATCGAAGAAGTTCGTTGGTCATGTTTCGTGAACAAGATGTTAAATTTCGGATACGTTCCTCGATTGTTCACACTACACTCAAGAATAAAAATTTTGAATTATTAAATTCCATTATTCGTGAATAGTAAAAAATTATATTTTCGAAAAATTCAAGTAAACTAAATAAAGTAACTAAATATATCAAAAAGCCACAAAAAATATCCAAATTCTAACTAGGAGTTCCAGTCTAGGCTCTAAAAGGGCTGCACAAAAAATTTGAAGCCAAAAAAAAAAAAAAAAAAAAAAAACTTTGCCGAAAAATCTTGGCATGGCATCTTCGATTTTTTTGTCGAAAGTGCCAAGAATAAGGCACTTAGCAAGAGGGTTTTTAATTTTTTTTTAAAAAATTTCTCTTTGTCGAAGTGCCCCTTGAAGACACTCGGCAAAGACATTTCCCACAAAAAAAATAAATCTTTGCCGAGTGTCAGTGTCGGGAGCAAAGAAGAAAAAAAAAACTTTATCGACAGTGCGGATTGGGACACTCGGCAAAGAAATTTCAAAAAAAATTAAATCTTTGCCAAGTGCCGATCCTGGGACACTCGGCAAATAATTTTTTTAAAAAAAATAAATCTTTGCCGAGTGCCTAACAAAGCAGCACTTTAAAGAAAGAAGGACGGGTCGAACACCGCTACGCTGGGCAAAGCCTATGCCGAGTGCCACGCTTTTGCGAGAGTCCGCACTTTCGGCAAAGAAGTCCTTGCGAAAGTGCACTTTTTGCCGAGTGTCGGCACTCGGCAAAAGAACTCTTGTCGAGTGCAATTCTTGTCGAGTCGCGGCACTTTCAGCAAAGAAGATCTTTGCCGAGAGTGTAGATTTTTAACATTTGCAAAGATTTTTGCACTCGGCAAAGGCTCTGTTTCCAGTAGTGCACTCCATCTACGATCACCTGTAGGTGCGTAGTATCTTTGCAACTAACTCGCTGTACACCAAGTGGTTCGTTCTCCTCCTGTGTTCCTGTATATGATGTTACATGTTAGTTCCTTGCCACGCTGGTAGTATAGCTAGCTCATCAGCCCATAAATGAGGGAAAGCAACCGTCAAACATATCACCTCCCTTTCTCCCAGCTGCTGCCGGCCGACTGCTGCTTGTGTTGTTGATTGCAAGAGCTAGCTAGTACGTGTGCGGTTGTGCCATGCTTTCCTTGCTGTTTTTTTCTCTCTCTCTCGCTCAACTCCTACTCCAATACTTCTAGATGCCACGCCAGTGCCACCCAACGTCAGGCTACCTGCTTTGCATGAGCGTGATTAATTGGTATAAGCAAGTGGAGTAATTAATAATCTTTTTTTTTTGACAGCAATAGCTATTTTGGTCCATCAACTATTACTCGAGGCTCAATTTCATCTCTAAACTTTCAAAACGGCCGTTTAGATACTCAAACTTTAGTTTTAGGATCAATTTCATCCTACAACTATGAAGATGATCGTTTTAGTCCTCAAACTTTGCATTTTGGGATCAATTTCATCCATAAACTATCAAAGTGCATTTAACTTTTTATTTTCAAGTCAATTTTGTCTATTCAAAAAAGATAACCTTATATTTTAGGCACAATTTCATCCATAAATTATCAAAATTATAGATCTGCTATTGTTTCAATATATCCATGTATTCTTAATGAATAAATACTGTTCGATGCAACTGTAATTGCTCCTGTAATATTATGTAGTCGGATATATATATAAATGGTAGCATTATAAGGTAACACTAAAAATAACAGCTTGGAATTATGAATGGCCACAGAAGAGTTTTTGGATGAATATTATTTTTCTATCTCCAATCGCTGGTGGTGTTGGAGCTAATTAGGTGCAACAATACAACGTTCCACGTAGAACGTAGACAACGTTGTGTTGAAAATAAAAGTTTAAAGAACAAAATACATTTTGATAGTTTATAAATGAAATTGAGCCAAAAATGTAAAGTTTGAGGACTAAAACGATCATCTTCATAGTTTTAGGATAAAATTGAGCCTAAAAGTAGAATTTGAGGACTAAAACGGCCGTTTTAAAAGTTCAAGGATAAAATTGAGCCTCGAGAAATAGTTGAGGGACCAAAATGGCTATTCTACCATCTTTTTATTTAGGAAATTTTGATTTTGCATACACTACTCTAAACCGGCCTACAAGGAACTGAAACTCTGTCCGGACCAGGCCCAGCTACTCACTCTCGCTGCATTCGTCATGGGCCGCAACCGCCACTCGTGCCAACAACTTCGTGACTCCACACGAAAGCCCAAAACCAACAACACCTTACAGAAGCAACCTCGCCGACACCCGCGTCCGTTTTTTCGCCCCCCCCCCCAAAAAAAACCCAGTGTCAAAAGGAAATGCAAATCAATCTTGCAAATTGACGTCTCCTTGCATATGCCGTTGCATTGCATGATTGACGCCAAGAATTCCTTTTCTTCTCTCTATCCGTTTGTTTCCGTTCTTTTTTTCCCTTTCTTGCTTCCTTGCCTTTATTTGATCACGGTGGATCGCTTGCAGCAGCGGCAGAGCCTCCTGGCTTCGGCGCCGCCCCCGCCTCGCGTCCTCTCTCGCCCGCGATAAAGGAGTTCGTCCAGGACCAAGCCCCTGTTCGTTTGAACTTATCAGCCGTGCCGTTCGAGCGAAATAACAATGTTTTTTCTCACATCAAATCAGTATCAGCATCAGCCGTTTTTTCGGCCAGCCGAATAGGACCCAAGCCTTGAAGAGTCGTGTCGACGCATCATGGCCAAGGAAAATTACTCTCCCGTTTACACACCTCTGTACTCCCGTTCACCTCCCCTGCGGCTCTGCCCCGATAGCTATACGCTCGTTTGTTCGATTCGGCCGTTTTTACTGCATCAACGGGCCAAACAAGCCGTTGCTGACCGCCGCCGCCCAACTCCCCGCTGCCCAAGTCTTCGTCGGACCCTTTAGCGGTGCCGAGCATCGGCCACGCGAGTCGCCAGGTATGCTCGCCCCTCTTTTCCCTTGCTTTTGTGTAAAACGGAGATCCCGAACCCTGATTTAAGCTATTTGGCTATCTGTATTTGGATCTGTTATAAGCACAAGTGTATGTATGCATGTAGTTTGTTGAACTCAGATATTATGAGACCTTCTAATCTAAATATATATGTGTATCATGCTTGTGATTAATTATTTGTATACCGTTTTTTTTGCCAAATATTAGAGGTTGACGCTGTCATGTGGCAAGGAGAAGCTCGACGTCGCCGAGGTGATTGGGCAGTGAGAAACCACGGACGCCACCGCCGCGAGGTTCTCCGGCGAGCTAGACCAGGAGACGGTGAGCAGCGCAGAACCCCCGTCTAGGTAAACATGTTTGTAAACCCCTCTATAATCATGTGTTTCGCGTCTAAATTATGGGATAATTGTTGTGCTGGTTAGGTTCCTTTTCATACTTCCATCTCAGTGTGCAAGGTCTATGAATGCACACCAATTTGCAGCTTGTACTAGGTAGCATGCCGTACATTAGTTCGGGATAGCTAAATCTTTGTACTAAAAACACACGGATCATATTATAAGATAACAATACTATGAAATTAGGTACCAACGCTAAAGTGACTTTAATCTAAAAAGCAAAGTTCGTGAAATTAATACAGTCACAAAGAGCGTGGCATTGCAGGCTCACAAACTCTACTGTATAGACCTTTTCGTGATGCAGCAAAGATAATGTTTTATATCGGTAGAAAGAAATCTTCGATATCTATTTTTTTAGGTGACAATAAATTCACGAATAAGTTCCGCAGCATCTCCATACCATCTTGTACATAAGTTCAAGTATATATGTAAATATTATTGCCCGTCACATGGCCACATGGGTAATAGCGCGTGTCATAAAAAATCTCTCATAAAACCTTAAAATAAAGTATGTTATACTCACCATATAAATACGTGTGGTTTTAGGACTATTCCAAGTAGACATACAGTGGCGGAGCTTTCTAGAGACGAAACTGGGCATTCCCCCCTTCTTCGGACAAAAGACAGTGAACAAGAATACGAATCCCTCAAAAAGAAAAGACATGTGCAGTGAAAGGAGAAAAGACTGGACATGTGAACGACATCGCTACGACTACGACTGAACGAGAAAAGGCTAGCGAAGCCGTGCAAAGCCCGCCCCTGCCAACTGCTAAAATACCATATTTTAAAATAGCCCCGTCAGTTCTAATTCATCCTCCGCCCAGACATATACGGTAGAATAATGTATCCACTTAAATGTCTATGGCAAGATTCATCATCAACGATATATAGAAATAGTTAAATTATATGTATTATTATGATTCTGAGTTAGTTACATGTCAATGTCATCTGCAATGTTTTTTTCGCAGATGAATTTCCATTTGAAGATATTCTCGTTCCATACAGAAATATGTACATTCACTACGACCATATAGTGCAAGTTAAATTCAAGAGTTTGCTCGACATACATCAGCATTGGTGTGTCTTTACACCATTTTTCAACAGGTCTAAAATCAATCATGGTAAGCGTCTTCTTCTGGTGGTCGAAAACATAAAGCATATATTTTTGAATATGTAGCCACGACAAAAGAAACTGCACACATGGTAGAGATTAGAATAATATATAGGAAACAAGTAATAAAAGCATGAGCAAGCGACTTACGTATCTGTACTGTGATAAGTTGTATTCCATATTCTTACATACATCAATCATAGCAACCATTTCTTTCGCACTGTATTTTTTACATTATTCTAGGTTTTGTATTAAAGCACACATTTTTTCTGGAAGACAAGGATATCGAGAGTCATGATTAGTATCACTAGGCCTATATTATTGTGGTAGAACCGTCTAAAATAATTCATTTTCGGAGGTGCTTGTCTTCCATTAGACACTAAACACCCCCAAGAGTGAGCTAATTTAACAGTTCTGTCGAGCACACCCTATGGGAGAACCCAAAAATCCATATTTTTCAACAGGATTATAAATGGGAGAATAAACCTTACAACATTTTAGCCATTTTTTACATCACTTTCCATGCAACATCAGAGTATAATATTTATTATTTATAACTGTGGAATATAACCATGTTATCAGAGTTTCAGCGGAAATAAAATCATTTAATGACAAGTTACACATTAACATGATGATCCGTTATATACATCATAACAGGTTATAAGTTTTTCCATTGTAAAATATTTTGGGTGGAAGTTTCAAATAAACTCTATGTCCGCAACGTTAAGAAAATCCTCGCTGAGCCCACCAGGAGGTTTTCATACACAAGTGTCAGCTCCACATGTTCCTATCACCTGCAACAGGGTAGAGCAAACCCTGAGTACTCAATTATACTCCACAAGAGTTACCCGTTAGGAGAAAATAAAGGACTCCAAGGATATGCAAGGCTATCTGGCTTGTGGATTTATTGCATCTGCAGGAGAATTACTAAACGTGCATCCTTATATTCAATTTTATTAGCAGTCATCATTAGTTCATTAACAAACCATTCTATGTAAGCACCTATGTTACTTTCAAGCAGGTGGTAAGCAATCAGAACCATTTTACCATCTTTCATATTCCAGTTCTTACTACGGTGCTAGATCATAGCCAAGCCGTACCGTATCACATGGTGATTCGTGAACCAATGTAGCCCAGCTGGGTACCTCGAAACACACGCTCCGCTTGTACCTGAAAGGATCAAGATGCCCAAGAGGGAGGAGTGAATTGGGTTAATTCTACAATTCTTTGCAATAATTAAACCCTACACTTAGCCCACTTCACCCCTTGTGCCTAGAATGTGAATCTAATGATCTATCGCACAAAAGTTAACACCCTAAGTTCCAATCCTACTCTAGCATGGCAATTCTAAGAATGTAAAGACATGAATTGAATTGCTCAAACGTAAATGCTCAAAGTAAAGAGAGGAGAAGGAACACGGCGATGTTTTGCCAAGGTATCGGAGAGTCGCCACTCCCCACTAGTCCTCGTTGGAGCACCCGCGCAAGGGTGTAGCTTCCCCTTGATCCGCGCAAGGATCAAGTGCTCTCTACGGGTTGATTCTTCGACACTCCATCACGGTGAATCACCCACAACCGTTCACAACTTGAGTTGGGTCATCCACAAGCTCCACCGGATGATCACCAAACTCTCAATCACCACCAAGCCATCTAGGTGATGGTGATCACCAAGAGTAACAAGCAAGAACTCTCACTTAACCACAACAAGCCTAATGAGAAAGGTGGATGCACACTTGCTACTCTCTTTTCACTAATGAGGCATCAATCTTGGATTCTCAAATCTTAATCACCTCACTAGGCTCTTGCTCTCCTTGGCACTCTTAAGGGTGTTTCTCAGCTGTTGAAATAGGTAAGAGTACTCCCTTGAATGAATAGAGGAGCTATTTATACCCCCTCATTCAAAATGAACCGTTATGTGCATGAGTCGGCACTCTGTGGGGTGACCGGACGCTCCGGTCAAGGTGACCGGACGCTCCGGTCAGTTCTCCCCGCCACTGAGCCGTTAAGTTATGACCGAACTCTGACCTGCGTCCGTTCAGCATTGACCGAACACGTCCGGTCATGAAAACTGCTCTATGAAACCTTACTGATGTTGACCGGACTCTGACACCCAGCGTCCGGTCACTTTACTGCTCAGCGTTCGGTCAGTACTGACCGAACACGTCCGATCAGGATTCTCCCTCTCTGGAACCTTACTAGAGTTGACCGGACTCTGGCACCCAGCGACCGGTCACATTTCACTCAGCGTCCGGTCACATCCAGATGACTTCACTTGATCAAATGAACTGACCGGACTCTACTACCAGCGTCCGATCACACCGAAACCAGCGTCCGGTCAATATTTGACCCTCCATTCACTTCCAACTCGAAATCATATGTAAATGAAGTTTGCTCCAATTGATCTTAGGGCTACTTAGGAGCTACCTAGTGCTAGATTTGATAAGTATGCATGTAACAGAACCGACCAATTATACGAAATTAAGTAAGAAAATCATCCGTCAGAGCAGACGATCTAGCAAACTTAAGCCCGTATAACCCGGTAGTCCGTGAAATCACGAAGGATTTCAAACCAATTTCCATTCCAGCCAAGATCGTAATAAGTTTAGCGATCACCATCACATATTACATAAAAGTTTGCATCTCAGATACATCAGAGTTTAAACATAGTTATTACAAAACCAGTTCGAATAAAAGTAGCGGAAGCCATTTGTTCAAACCACCCACACACTCACGCGGAGTTCAAATATAGTGCCAGCGAATGATCATCTCCAACAAAAGCATTAGACGAGACATAAGGAATGACCATGCCCATGGTCCTAAGCATCACCCATCGCAGGATAAAGGCAGTTGATACAGTAGCCGTAATACATCTGCCATCTACAACAAGTGAGAATAAAACCCTGAGTACGAGAAGGTACTCAGCTAGACTTACCCGACATAACCAAAAATAAATGACACCAAGGATTATGAAGGCTTTATAGTAGTATAGCTGACTCATTTACAAAAGAAGCATTTTTAGCATTTCAAGAACCTTTCTAAAAGCATTATTGTCCAGTTAATTATTATTAACCTGTCGACTAGATTTGCACCTATACTAGAGTAAACATGTGATTAAGTAGATAATGATAACCAATGATCATTAAACAACTTCCATACTGTCATATTCACTATAACTGTCCAAGTGTTCCATAAACATTTACTACGATGAAGTAACTCAAGTCAAGTGCTCACTATCCAGGAGCGATGCCGATTCGAATCGATTCCTAACCAGCTGGTGATTATTCCTTACACAAACCTCACTCACCTGCTAAAGTGAGATATTGATCACCGAGTCAACTTTCCAAGTATCTCGAGTTTGCCAGGAACCACATGTGCCGGGGCCGACCAGGCGCACTTTGGTCTTATCATCTCGCCCCGTGTCCTACCACACTTGCTCCAACACAAGGTCTTGCATGGGCAATCTACTCGGCCTGAAAAATCTCCCGACTTCACGGTCGGAAGGTACTTTATCCCGCCGACTAAATGTAAGGCATGCATTCAACATGACTCGAGGCCCAACAACGGTCGGTCCTTAATCGACACAGACGGAAAGCACTATAGTCCAAAACTCTACAAGTCTCCGTCCGGTCTCAACTTCATTTAACACTTAGTTATACCATGACTTCATAGTCATCCAAGCGAGATCCGAGATAACCACCTATAGCTCGCAGGTGTGAGAAAATCACCCGACTTCTACCGTCTCTAAGCCGACTAAGCATTGAC